GTAAATAATGGGGATTAGAGACGGATGTCCTGTCCAATTTTCCTCCACCACACCGTTAATATTGCCGTGGAAATTTTTTAAACAGAAATCCATCTTCCTAAAATACTTGTTACAAAATGAGGTTAACGAAAAGGAAAATACGCATAACAAATAGCCTTTCAAAATGTGGCTCAATAACAACATTGTGCTCGAGATGATTTTTCAAAACGTGAATGATAACAATTTTTTAATTTTTTAGATGTGGGGATAGATAGTGGCATAGGAACAGATGCGCATAATTAGACGCGCGAGCGGAGAGACCTGACAGGCAGTAAGAAAGAGAGAGGGTGGGTCTGTCATATAGAAAAGGATAGCTGAGTGAGTGATAGAGAAAGAGAAAGAGGATAGAAAGACAGAGATAGATAGAAAGAAAGAGGGAGAGAGAGAGAGAGAGAGAGAGAGAAAGAGAGAGAAATACAGAGAGAGATACATACAGAGAGAGAAAGAGAGAGATACAGAGAGACAGAGAGAAAGAGAAAGAGAGAGACAGAGAGAGAGAGAGAGAGAGAGAGAGAGAGAGAGTGTGTGTGAGAGAGAGTAATAGAATGAGTGGGTGGGTGAGTGAGAGAGTGAGTAGGGTAGGGAAGAAAGACAGTCAGATAAATAAATAGGTTACCAAAAACTTTTTTTTGCAATAAAATGCTCTCAAAAAGGTCGTTTTTATTTTTGGATAAATTTGAAGATAAAATTATAAAATTGTAACGTATTCATTGAGCATGAGATTGTATAGCGTTTCTCCTGGGGTTTGGGGTGTGTTGGACCAACTTTTTGGTCTTTCCGACCATTTTGATCCGCCATCTTTTCCACTTCGGCCTGTCGGTGACTTTTCAGGTGGTCAGGGACTTACGAATGGCAAAGAAAAACAACCTTCCATTTATGCCAATTTCAAATGGGGACCATGAACAAACTCACCAAAACGGAATCGATCTAATATTTCTCTTTATCTGATTATTTGATGGTTATTTGCTAGACTACATGATTTATGTTTACATGTGTAAGGCCTAAACATGTTAATGCAATAAAAAAATTGACAATAAATGTTTAGAATATTTTTCCAACTTAAATTTTAATGACTGTCGACCTCTGGTTCATTAACCGGGCCATCTTTGCCAAAACTAAAGGCAAATAAACATTCTTGCTAAAATAACTTTGGAACAAACACACGGTCCGCCTTTAAAAAAAGCTCGAAGGCATCTTTGAACAAATCTAAATAAAATCCTATTAATTAAGTTTTAAATAAAAATAGTGATAGAATCAGGGGTTTTGAGCCAGAACTTTTTTTTAAAATTTGATAAGCAATTATCTTGGCAATTTGTGAAAAAGGAGGATTATACAATTATTACATTTTCACTAAAGTGTATAATCTTTTTTCACTTTTAACCCGTAGTACATAAGGTTTTTGCCTTTCTTGTATTGTAAACAATAACAAGGAATTGATCTATTTGAAGGGAGAACAGTTTGCCAGGCACTTAGACTGCTGAAGGGGACTATGCTCTTCATTAGAGGGAGCATAGTTCACTCCCCTCTAACACATCCTTTGGTCTGTAATGTTTATCTCACCTCTATTTATCAACTTGCTACTTATCGTTCTGTCCCACATCTTATCGGTCCTCTTCTCGGTCGAATTATCCTTGTAACAAATCATCCGAGTTATCACCGTCGGGCTATGGTGTTGTGAACCGTGTCTCAATGTGAATTTATTGTTTTACTGTTTGATTTGGTAACACAAGATTGATTTTTTTGTGCTAAGCGTCGATGTTTTATAATGGTAACATAAGTAGTTGAGTTAGTTCATCAATAAAAAATATCCTTAAGTTGTTTGTTTCTTTATCAAAAATTCCTCATTAATACGAATGTATAGGATAAATTACATAAAAACATCTTAAGAAGTTAATTTTTGTACAAAACTATAGTTACATTGACTTAGAATGCAACATATTGAAATGTACAAATTAAAAATTTAAATTTTATTAATATTAACAGTACAGTTCGCCTTGTTGACAGCCTTCATGACCGATTTTCCCTTGCTTTAACGGAAATATTGAATAAATTGGAATATTGATGAGTGAAATGACACCTGTATTGTTTTCCGGCATTAAATGTGTCAATTGAATGGATCCAAAGACAATTTGAACGTCAGTGGCTTGAATTTTCTATTTGTCCTTTACAATTCAATAGCTTTAAAATAATGCAACTGTACAAATTCCTAAAAAAATATCGACTTTAGATTAAAACAGAAGTATTCTTTTCCCTGGCTGTTGCTCGAAAGGCAGTATGACAGTGTCATAGGAATTCTACAAAAAACAAAAGAAGAAGTGGGCAAACTTCAGAGGTGCCAGGCACAGTATACTCATGATTAAAGAACCCAAATTCGCAAATACATATTGTATTAAAACAGCGTAAAACTCAGGGGAGTGATAGGTGCTATAATAGCTTTGTCATCTAAGAAAACACCAGTCACTAATGTGCCCTTAAGTATATTCAATGATGACCCCATTTCTAGGGTATGCAATGAGGATGAAGAAACTGAATCAGAATGCGAAGGAACTACTCAATGGAGACCTTGCAATTCTTAAAAGAAGGGTCGAGTCAGTTGAACTGAACTAAGGAAGGAAAAGTACAATAAACCAGAAAGCTACAGTACTCAAGAATTGAAAAACTATACTACCAACAAAACACATTTTGGTTCAATTTCTGATTATGTACTGATGATACTTCCTCTGTATAAACATCAACTACAAGCCACCGCTTCTTGGATTACATCTACTTCGTCCAAGAAACATACAAGATTTTGACCAACCTCAAGGCAGAAGGTTACATTTATAAATCAGGTCATTTGGGAATTATAGAACACAAAAAGCGGTAATACGTATGTGACTAACATGCTGTATGACAGAAGATTTTATACAGAAAATAAGAAAAGTTATACATCAACATTTGCATCAGTGTCGAATAATAAAGTGAAGACAATAAGAACCACGGTGCGGGTTTGGTTCACATCATTGAGAAATGAACGAAGGGAGAAAGTGGTACTAATGCAGTTGAGAATAGGCCACACTCGCCTAACACATGGATATTTACTGTGTGGCGGAGAACCTTGTAATGTACAGTTGTCCAACATATAATAATATAATGTCCTTCGTTGATTTCTTACTGAAACAAAAATATGTACCAAATGTATTATTTTAGACAGTGGGTGAAAAGCAGATACAGTAGAAAAAGTAACATAAAACACATTAAAATATATAACAAAATCTAGGAACAGACGTTAGGTGTAGAGATGATTTGATGATTGATCCCAGTTTGAGTCTGGGTTGTGTGATTAGAGTGAATGAGTTGCTGGAAGAATGTACTTATTAGCGCGAATGTATTTATTTGCAAAAATGTGATTGGGATTATGCAAACATGCAATAAAATGACCATTTGTAATTGATTCATATCGCATTTCTAATCTTACTACATTTCTTTAAGTTTATAGTTAATTAAAAGTGTTCTTTATTATTTTATTAATCGTATAAAAAATATAGTAAAATAAAGCATTTTTCTCCGGAAATTGTTCAAAAGTTAAGCTACAAAGGTCTTTTTATCAAAGGTCTTGTTTTGAAATGAGTAAATTAGTTACAAGTAATTAATTATTAATTCGTGACGGTATGCAAAATAAAGTCACCCTCTGCTGGGTCTCAGGACATGTAGGAGTAGAGGGCGAGAGAACGGAACCCCTTGCAAGGAAAGGGGGCTGCCATACATCTGATAGGATCTGAGCTCTTCTGTTGCATAAGATAAATCAACCTTAGACAAAAAGACAAAATGAAAATGAGGCAACAGTGGAATTCACTCATTGGCCATAAACAAACCAAGAACCTTGTAGTAAATTTCGAAAGGAAAGAATAGCATAATGCATCAAAGGAAGCAAGAAAAAAATTCGATCCTGATAGGATTCTTAACAGGAGACTGAGTGGGCATCTTAAGCAGATTGAACAAGAAATACAGAACTGGGGGTGGAATAGCTCTAAAATTTCTATGAAAACTAATATTAAAATATCTCATTATAACAAGTACATATATGTAAGATATGCTGAAATCGTTAATGCAGCTGTCGCTAAGAAATTGCTGTTTTTTTAAAAATGATTTTAAAAATGGGAATAAGATAAAAAATCGTATACATAACATGATTGTTAACGGAAAGCCTTCTCTAGACTTGATATAATAATTCTCATAACTTATATACTACACAGTACATATAAGATACAAATATTAAAAGGATGAAAAATGTATTGTTATCACTTATGTTAACCAAAAATATAACCTAAATAATTATCTATATGTTACCAAGAGAAAATCGGTATAATAAAAAACATAAGTTTAGTCATATATTACCTATGTAATGTGTTCATAATGGGTCTGAAACTATAATATATTTCTTTATTTACATAATTATTCCGAAATCGTGAGATGCGGTCGGTTTATTTATATAATAACTACTGTTCTCTACACAAGCTTACCATTTAGTTCATCATTTAAGTTACTAAATTGTTAAAATTATAATCTATTGTTGACCAAATGTACATATAAATAAACCTGGGATTAGATTGAGCTTGAACACTGGAAAATCAACGTTAAACATTTATTAATGTTGCGCCCTTGTTTTTTCTTTTTTAGATGGGAATAGCCGGTTTTGCCGTTCCATTTCGTTCGATTATTCTGTATTATTCATCAAATCGGCTGCCAAAGTTTACTTGTGACTTGAAAAGTCTAACATAAATGAAAGGTTAACGGTATAAATTGAACAAATGATAGTGATTTATGATTTTTTTAGTAGTTCGGTACTGGGATGCCTTGTTAGTTTGTGAGAATTTATCGGTGATTTTTGTCCGTTTTCTGTCGTTTAAAAAAAAAGATTATAATCTATGTATTAATACTTTTAACTTATCAAATTTTTAATAATTATGATTTTTTTCCAGGTAATAATGGGCGATCGGCCTGCAGCAGAGAGGGCGTGTAAAGACCCAAACCCGATTATCGACGGTAGGAAAGCAAACGTGAACCTTGCTATCCTCGGTGCAAAACCTCGGGGTAACTTACAACCAGGTAGGTGAAATACATATTATTTACAGCCATATAAATAATTATAAACAAAATTATTGACAATGTTTCATCTTATTTTCTTATAATATCCATCATCTGTCTCCTTGGCAGAAGTTTCTCTTCCCCTCTTTGTTATTGTTTTTATGCTTTATGGGAGAAATAATAATTTACTTATGACCAGGGGTTTCAAAAGCGTCTGTTTTTTCCTTAATATAACAATCCTTTAAATTGATATAAGTGTGCGTCCTTCTTTATCTAAAAATTAAGAACAAATTAAACCAATTTCATAGTTCCTTAGTAAATATCGGACTTATTTATTTAAAGACGTTTACAAAAATTGAATGTATTTACAAGTATAAGTATTATAGTTACAAAGTTTAATATAGTTATATAAATAATAAAATGGAGTAGTTCGATCAAATCCCGTGTTTCTCCTATCTTCAGTGGCGGATCAGGGAAATAAGCAGGCCAGAAATTCTTAACAATGGAAACATTCACCTCGTCCCGCCCTGTTTATATCCCAGACCAACCAGCGAGATAAGGAATCGGACCTCAAAGTGTTACACAATATTAAAATACTGTTATAAAATCGATTTGTAACTTTATTATTAAAAAAAAAATAATAAAAAATAAATAAAAAAAATAAATAAAAAATTATTAATGAATTCATATAACAACAATATTGCTTTATAAACAACTCTTTATATATTTTTCTCGCATTTGCAGATTAAAAGACATTTACATGTTTAATAATTCCCCCCACTGTTTTACAAGAATTAATAAAAAATAAGAACAATGCTTATCGTTTAATTTGTTCTTGTCGATCTATGAAATCGTTTTCATTCACAATTTTGGACAGCTTTAAAGTTTTATTGATTTATTAGTGATTAGGTTGAACATGTTAATTAAAGGCCGTTTTAGAAATTAAATTTAGGCCAAATACTCATGTGTCTTGCGTGGTTGCGCTTCTAGCCATCATCGGTGATTGGTCAGGGTTTATACAGTCGAGGAAAATACAAATCTCGATTGTATAAAGAGTTTATCCTGTACATGAATTTATACACGTTACAAATTGTTCTTAATGTTATGCGCAAAGCACTAACACTTCGGCACCCGGAGGACCAATTCTGGCACTTAGTTTGTTATCGAGTTCAGGCGAGGAGGTGTCGGGGCCATCGTCGTTTAAAGCGACATGGAGGGTTCTTGTGATAGAAAGAAGTGGAGAGGGCTTGAGCAGTAGGGTTAGGTTGGGTAGAAAGATTGTAGTGAAACTTGATGGCGGATTTTTTGACGAATGTCATTGTAGATAGTGAGGTTCGAGACGTAGAAAGGAGTTTGGAAAATTATTCTGAATACTTGTGATTATGTTAGATTGCACCACAGTTACCGTCATTCTGCTTTTGGTCCTATATGCTTTTGTAGTTGTCCAAATCGTCTATTCAGTTTTTGTCGTTTGAATCTTGTGTGATGATTCCATGTCATTCTACTGTCAAACTATAGCCAAATATTTTACTTGTGGAGAAGTCCGTAGTTCTTAATTGTTAACGAATAGACGTGAGTAAGGCTCTAGCGTCAACGTAATTTGTGTACATTTGTCCCGTTCAGTTTCATTTTCCACGTTTTGCACAGTGTTAACAAGTAATTCCTTTCTTACAGAAGAGCTTAACGTTCAACTGCCTGTTGGGTCTCGTGGGCAAGGGGTCAAACAACTTTTCAATATATGTTCATGCAATTGTCAATTAAAACACCAGGGATGGCTAGCGTGACACGTCGGACGCTCTAACCACTCGGTCACTACGCTCCCCCCTGCTTATATCCCTGACCAGCAAGGTGGTCAAATCTCATTATACTGAAATACTGCCATAAAATAGTTTTAATGAATAATTCTCTGTTTCTTTTTGTTCTTCTATTTACCGATAAAATTCAATAATTTTTAATGCTTGCTGTATGAAAAGAATTAATAAAAAAGCCCAATTCAGGACGCTTTTGTTTTTCCTTTTTTTCTTCTGCTTTGTGCATGTGGATTTTGTTGAATTCAAAACGTTTTAGTCCTTATAAGAATTTATGAAATAAACTAGATTTTTTCTTGGTATTCGTACGTAAAATGATATTAATAAATGTATCTTGCTTCATTTTAGACAGCAGGAATGTTGTTTTTCAGTTCATAAATTGATTTTGAATTATTACAATCGAATGACGGACTGATTCGGCCGCGTTGCAAAATTCATCAGCCACTATGACCTCTAGGTCTGCTTTATTGAAATTGTAAATTTACATCCAAAGGTTCAAACTCGATGAATATTCACAGAGGCGGATGGCCCTGGGCTTTTTAATATCCCGCTCCCCTGGTGAAAAGACAATGCCAACAGTTTGAACAAGTGTGCAGTTGTCTGTCTTTGTATTTGTTTTAATTAGCCCGATGACAGTGTTTTAAACTTTATAAAACGACAGGGGGTGGAACGGGCGAGATATTAATTCGACAGGGGCAACTTTTAATTAGGATAATGTCTTTATTCTGTTATGTAAAAAGAAAACAACTTTCCTCATTTTTTTTCTCGAATTAAAACGCTGTAAATAACGAGTGTAAAACCCCGTCGGAATTAGATGCCGCCTCATTTCCAGCACCACCTGGCTGTCAATTACGACAGTAACTATTGGGCACCCAGGGAAAATCGATAAGATGTAAACCCCATCACACTTCATGGGTTGGTGCTTTTTAAAACTGTCGGGGAAAAAGAAAACGTTGATTTTTATATGAACAGGCAATCCGACTGTTCATAATTTGAAAAAAAAAATCCCTCAGAGAAAGTTATAAATAATTAATATTGAATGTATATTGTTAAATTGCCACGTACAAATTTATTTTTAATCAAATAATTGAATTCTTAAATATTAAAAAAATAGACAACATACTGTTAGTTATATTTCATTAATGTTAATTCGTTATTAAGGAAGGGGTATTTAAGTATACTGTATTTTATATTATTAATGATTATGTTTGTGCAATCGATGCCAACGATTCCAATAAAAATAATGATATACCAACATTCATAAAGGGCAAGAAGGCACAGTACACCAAATTACATTTGACCCGAGTAAAAGTGATAAATAAAAGGAGTAGGCGATTTGCCTCTCCCTGCTTATATCCCGACCAACCCCTAATGATGCAGTAACGAGTCTTATAAGCTAGGACAGGGAAAATGAGGTCAGAATGATCGAAAAAAGGCTTTTCCTCAGCTACACTCACGTAACTGTTACAACTTAATGTTTTTATGATGTTTCTTGTTGAGGTTTGATCGATAGGCTGATTTAATCATTCACACGTTTTGATGTGTTTCGCCATATTGTGTTACTGGTCTGGGATTCAACAGGGCGAGGCAAAGCGCCTTCCATGACAATGATGCTGAGAATATTCTCTTTATAACCGTAGCACCTACTGAAGATGGCAAATCGCTGAAACGACAAAGCACGCAGGTCAGGATGAAAAAAAGACTTCCTCTGCCGTTACTGTTACAACTTAATGTTTTATGACATTTCTTGTTGAGGTTGATGATAGGCTGGTCTAATCAGTCATATCTTGATTGGTCAGTCTTGATTGGATACGACCAAACTACAAGTTTATAACCTACAAAACTGTTGTACATGTCAAAGTATAATAACACTTCTACTATTAGATGTTTTTTCAATTTAAATTCATTTGGCACACGAGTCTGTCCTTGAGGTTTTATATGTAGCGGTTTTGTGATTAATTTATATCGTTATCTGGAATCAACGAAACATGTTTTCAATTGTCTCGTTTTTGTTATCTGTTTCAGAAGCCAGAGTTGATAAAGGCTTGAAGGCAAATCTATTCATAATAAACATTTATTACAAAAATTGTTTGTAGTAACGCAGATTTGGTGTGATATTTTTTTATGATGGTTTCATGTTTGGTTTTTACAGAAAGGAGACATCTTGTTACCCCTTAATTGATTTGTAGGTCCAATCTTGTTGATCATAATTCCATCCGGGGGAAGATTGTTCTGGAAAGGACCTTTTAACCGGCTTCTCTTCCTTTCCCGTCTCTCGAGATTTCTTTATAGCTAGGGTTTATTAAAAGTACAGAAGATAGGGGGGGAAAGCAACCTCCGACTTGAGTAAATCAGTAGAATTAAAATAGGAACTGGAACACGAGACGTGAAAGAGCCATCGACACGGCACGACAAACGCACTCCCCCGTTCTGGTAAAGAACAGGATGCATAAATAAACAGGACAGGAAATGAGAGCTGCCTCTTGATAAACTATCGAGTGTAAAGTAAGGTCACTTACTTATTCAGTGATATGAACTCTGTGGAATGCGAGATAGGTTCAGGTGTAACAGTATGTTTTATTTCAAATATTAGAAAAACAACAAAAATCTATTCCAGTCAATACTTTCAATTCATTAAGTATTTATATACTCTTGATTAGGAGGTGTATTTGTACTATACCATTTTTTATTACCCTTAGATCAAGATTTATTTAGGTAGTTATGGTAAAAATTAGGTTAAAATAACATTTAATACTTTTAGATCATGGGAACTTTATTGAAGTTGAGTTTTATTGTTAACTTCCTGCCATATTTCATCTACGTCCCTACGTAAACGTTATCGTTTTAGCGTCGATGACATCCACCAACGATGTTAATATCAACATGGATATTAATTAAACATTTTACCATCCATGTGGTCAATATTAGCCACCGAATTTCACGAGTATAAGGTCGAGATCGAATTTGAACAGCAGGAAATTGACTGACTATTATTAATCAGTTTGACATCGATATTTAAATGTACTAAATATTACATATAGTATCGATCAGCGCGACATCTATGGTTAAATATATTGAGTTGATAATATCGATCGGCGCGACATCGATGGTCAAATATCTAAGCATTGTTATTATCGATCAGTTTTACATATTAGCTAAATATCGATGTGTCGATAAATCGATCAGTGTGTCATCGATGGTCGAAAATTGAAT